CTTTTGTACAAATATCCAGAGCAGAAACAGGAACGAAGCAGAGTGCTGTTCACTCACACAGAGCAAGTGCTCTATCTGTCTGTCTGTGTCTGTCTGTCTGTCTTCTGTCTGTCTGCCTGCCTGCCTGTCTGCCTGCCTGCCTGCCTGCCTGCCTGTCTGTCTGTCTGTCTGTCTGTCTGTCTGTCTGTCTGTCTATCTATCTATCTATCTATCATCGATCTATCGATCTATCGATCTATCTATCGATCTATCTATCTATCTATCTATCTATCTGTCTATCTCCCTGTCTGTCTGTCTGATTTTTTTTCAGTAATGAGGTTTGAACTCAGGGCCTTGTTCTTGCTAAGAATGTATCCTACCCCTTGAGCCATTTTTCTAGCCCTTTTTGCTTTAGTCATTAGGGTCTTGTCTCATGCCCCAACTGGCATGGACTGAGCCTCTCTCATTTATACTCTCTGTGAGGCTAGGATTGTAGGCATGAGCTGCTACACCCAGCTTCAAAATATCTTTTGTAAGAACTGACAACTGACTTAGAAGAAAAAGGTTTTAAAAAGGGTTTTAAAGCTTTACACAAAATGTCCTGTTAGAGCTTTCTAGGGAAATTCTAAGTCATGGAGTAAAGATAATAAGACAATAAGAACTTGATTAGTAAGCTGACTTTGTGTGTGTGTATGTGTGTGTGTATGTGTGTGTGTGTGTGTGTGTGTGTGTGTGTGTGTGTGTGTGTGTGAGAGAGAGAGAGAGAGAGAGAGAGAGAGTTAATGAATGTAGACAAAAAAAGCAAAACAACAATAAAAAACTGTGTGTGTCTGGGCTTGTTTAACCAATTCTCTGGTTTGTTTATACTGCTTTTTTTAAGGAAAGGATTTTAGTTAATTGACAGAAAAAGTTTACCCTATTTAGTGAAAACACAAACCTACACAATCCTGTCAAAGATACACAGGCTCCTCTGTGCTACCTTTCTATGGTCCTTCCTGTCCCTTCTCAGAGTGAAATGGATATTTCCCATTAGGAAACCTTTTCTCTGGCTGATGTGATATTTTTAGGTAGGTGATATAGGAACTATAAGGCAGCCAGTCCTCTTCAAACTCTCTTTTTCTTTCTTTGTCCCTAACAGAACCTTCACAATTCTCTACATTCTTTCAGGGGCAGCAGAAAATGAACTTATCTCAGGTGAGTTCTGCCTTTTTTCCCCTTGTACCAGTCCTGGGGCTTGGACTTAGGGCCTTGGTGCTATCCTTGAACTTTTTGCTCAAGGATAATGCTCTACCATTTGAACCAAGCTCCACTTCTGGCTTTTTCCTTTCCCCTCTCTATTCTTCCTTCCTTCCTTCCTTCCTTCCTTCCTTCCTTCCTTCCTTCCTTCCTTCCTTCCTTCCTTTCCCTTCCTTTCTTCCTTCCCTTCCCTTCCCTTCTTCTTTCCCTCTCTCCCTCCCTCCCCTCCCTCTTTTCTCTTTCTTGTTGTAAATCAGTGGGGATAAGAATCTCATGGACTTTCTTGCTCAGTCAGTTTTGAACTGGGGATTCTCAGATTTCAGCCGAGTAGCTAATATTACAGGCGTGAGTCACATTTGCAATGGCGTTTAAGTACCAATATCTTTTTTTTTTTTTTGTCAGTCCTGGGGCTTGAACTCTGGGCCTGGGCACTGTCCCTGCGCTTCTTTTGTTCAAGGCTAGCACTCTACCACTTGAGCCACAGCACCACTTCCGGCTTTTTCTGTTTATGTGGTACTGAGGAATTGAACCCAGGGCTTCATGCATGTGAAGCAAGCACTCTACCACTAAGCCACATTCCCAGCCAAGTACCAATATCTTTTACAATGGCTTCTTTGAACACTACTGTGTCTACACATTAATATAGAAAGGTAGAATAAAATAGATCAGATACTTTTTTCATAGACATATAATCCTGACTGGATTATAATCAGATCCAGTAGAGAACCCCATTTTTGGTTCATGGCTGACAGTATCTGGGTACCTCAGGGTTTGGAAAGGTACAACTATGGTATCTCACCTAGGGTTTGCTAATGGTTTCATCTGCACAGAATGCGGGCCCTCAGGCTCCTGAAGAAGAACTGTGTGAGGAGGACATCCCTAGAATCTTCCTGAGAGGTTTCCATGTGAGTTGTCTGTGTGTGTGTGTGGGGAAGGGTCATGGGGTAGCTTGCAGTCTCTGTAGGGGTCTCTGTGGGGTGTGTGGGGAGGAATAGGAAGTCTGTGTATGGGTGTCTGTGAGGTCTCTGGCCCAAAGCTCTGTGCTTCTTCTCTGTGGAGCAGTGCAGGCCTTGGGGCCAGATCTCTGCCTTGAGGTGTCCATAGGGAGGTCTCTCTGGTCAGTTTCCTCATGAGGTCTCTATGGGAAGTCTATTGGTGTATGGCTGTGGGAGGACATTGTGGAAGGGCCTTGTGGGTAATTCCTTGGGAGGGCCTTGTGGGAGGACTTTATGTCAGGACCTTGTCAGAGAGCCTTGAAGGAGGACCTTGTGATCTCTGTGGGACGTTTCTGTTTGAAACTCCCAAAGGAATTCTGTGTGTGAGTTTTTAGCCCACGACTGTGGAACCACCAGTAGAATCTCTGCAAGGTGTCCATGTGGACACGAGAGGTCTCTGTGTGTAGACTTGGAGCTCTGTGGGAGGGGTGTGTGTGTGTGTGTGTGTGTGTGTGTGTGGATTTGGAAATCTGGTGGATTGGAGGTCACTGTGGGAAGACTAGGATGGAGAAGTCTGAGTGATCTCTGTAGGAAGGTCGTCTTTGTGAGACATCTACTCAAAATGTCTGCAAGGGTCGGACATGAGGTCTCAGAGCCCTGTGAGATTCCTGTGGAAATGGTATACTAGGTGACAATGAGAGATCTCTGTGTGCTATCTGTGCATGAAATCTCTCTGGGAAGTTTCCACTTAGAGGTGCCTGTGGCTGTCTTCAACTGCTGCTTTCATTGCTCTGTATGGAAAGCTGTGTAGCAGAAAGGGACTTTGTCCTTCCTGTTTTCTGACTGGTCCATCAGAGTAGCCTGTTTCTGGTGCCTTTCTTGGCAGGCACCATGGCTCTATGTCCGGCATCCCCACAGTCCAGAACTTGCATGTTGGTGTCCTCAGGGAGACAGCAGTATCCAGGAGTAGCATGTCCTGAAGCCAGAGGCTCAGCTCTGTGCGATCCTCTCATGATGTCCTCCAGCACCTCTTGGCTCCAGGCCCCAACCAATCCTGCCAGTCCTGACTCCACTCTCTTTGGAGGCTGCCATAGTCATCAGGATCCCAGAAGTAGGACCTGGCTCTAGTATCCAGGCATCAGGGCCTGTGCCCTCCTGGCTTGGTGCCAATCTAGTCCCTTATATGGGGGCCCATTCTTATCACCAGATTATTAACAATGGTTTGAATATCCAGCACTGCAAGGGAACAAATTAACTCCCTCTGATTCGCTTTGCTTCCTCTTTAGGCTAATCCTCTGGATCTGAGCTAAAGATCTGGGATGGGAAGCAGGTGGGAATCTGGGGTGAGGCCAGGATAGAGTTCTTGGCTTCAGTACCTCCTTTCCTAAACTTGTAGGGAACGGTCACACGGTACCATTTATGGGCCTCCTTACTTTGTTTCTCTCTTTCAATTCCCACATTTCACCCTCAGGTCCCACAATGCCTGGCATCAGTTCACACACAGTCTCCTACCTGTTCTCCTCACCCAGGTTCTCCCCCTGGGGTTGAATTAGATGTGAGCTAGACCAAGGTCATCGACCTGTGGACAGGATGGTTTAAACATTCATTTGCGGGAAACATGGCCCTTAGTGGCCTCCCTGGTCATCAGGTCTACCTTTAATGCTGCTCCAGAGTGGGAGAAAGGCAGAGGGGGTGGGGTGGCCACTCTGAGCTTTTCATTAGGGCCAAACTAAGAGGACCCATTTGCATTCTAGCTTTCCCAGAGAGAAGGGACTTCCCAGGAGCGGGAAATTTCTATTTCCCACCAAAAGAGCCAAGAGAAACGTGTTTGTTTCTTCCTGCTTCAGAACACAGAGCCCTTGCATCCTCCCCTTCACACTTTACCTACTTTGTGACATGTGAAGCTCCTTGGATCTGACCTTTCTTGGAGCCTGCAGGAATTTTCAGCCCTAAGAGGCCTTTGTAAATTTGGTCCCTAGAGTTGCCTAAGGTAGAAAGTAGTCAGAGGATGGGTTGAACCACTTCCTAGGGTAGGGACTTCATTGGATGTCCTTACTGGTTTTAGAGTTTTTGTTGTTTAGAAGATTAGCACTGTTGACTCATGCTTGTAATCCTAGCTGCTCAGGAGTCTGAGATCTGAGGATCACAGTTCAAAGTCAGTATGTGTGGAAAAGTCTGCAAGACTCTTCAGTTAACCAGCAAAAAGCTGGATGTATAGGTATGGCTGAAGTGGTAGAACTCCAAGCAGTAATCAAAAACAAACAAACAAAAAGTCAAGGAAGGTGAGAGGCTCTGAGTCCAAGCCCCAGTTCAGGAAAAAAAAGAAGTTTTTGGTTGGGTTCCAGTGGCTATATATAATCCTAGCTACTCAGGAGGCTAAGATCTGAGGATTATGATTGGAAGCCAGCCAGGGCTGGGTAGTCTTTGAGACTCCAATTAACCACCAGAAAACCAGAAGTGGTGCTGTGGCTCAAAGTGGCAGAGTGCTAGCCTTGAGCAAAAATGCTCAGGGACAGTGCCCAAGCCCTGAGTTCAAACTCCAGGACCAGCAAAAATAAAATAAAATAAAATAAATCTACATATCTATATATAGTTGTGATTTCCATCAGGGTGGTATTATAGGACCTTATTCATTGAATATATAGCTCAATGAAGGATGTCTGGATAGAGATTGGTTTGTAACTCAACTTCATCTCTCCCCACCCTGTTCCCTCCCCTCTAGAAGCTAAAGCCCACACCAACCATGGAAGACACAGAAGTCACTACCTTTTGTGAGGGGAAAATAATATGTTTATTGGCTTTACATTAACTGGATTTGCTAGCATGTGGAGTCTTTTCTTCTTCCACGCATCACAGTTTTCCTTTGGGACATGTTTTCCTAACGGAAAGGACTGGAGAAGGATTTTCTGATCTAGACAAGACACCTCTCCTGAGATGACAATGCCTTGGGCAGTGTTGCTGATGATGGCTCGAGGGCCCTGGCACTGTTGGCCCGTGTGGGGAGGCAGTTGGCGGTGACACAGCCTTCTTGGAGGGTGGATAGCAGGCATGTTCGGCCCCACGCTGCTCATTGAATCGGACACTCTTCAGGGACTGTTTGGGTCTGAGTTTCCTGTCCTGGGTAGGATACCTCTGCCACTTGGTGGCTGCATAGCTGGTCATCCTTCTTTGATCTGAGTAGTGGGAGGGTCTCTGGTAAGAGGGAATGTGACAGTTGGGAGCTCGAGGGTATTCTTTGTACTGGTTTGATTTTAAGGTGCAAAGCTTGTGATGAAGCATCATTTTCTTTTCTACGATCTGTCCAACGGCTGTCATGAGTTCCTGTGCCTCGGCCATGTTCCTGTCCATGTGTGTCCCAGCTTGCCCTCTTTGGTGGCTCCGGACAGGGGCACTCTTAGGCTTGTCTTTGTCTAGGGTGTCTGCTTCTGCCATGATTGTTTTCTTGGGTAGCATCCAGTGAAAAAAGCGTCTCATGAATTTTTGGAAGTGGTTTTCCAGAGGAGCTGGAGTAGGGGCTCTGTTCTCTGGAGCTTCTTCCGTTCTCCTGGCTGGAGTGAGTTTGGGGGTCCTCATTTCTTCACATGTTTTGTCATGATTCCTTGGGGTTGGTCTCCTATACTCCTCCCCTTTGTAAGTAAAGGCATACATTTTGGGCTGATTTCTCCATGTGTCTTGGCATTTCACGACATGGGGCTGATGTTGCCCTGAGCTACAGGGCGTTTCCATCATCACGTCCTCTGACATGTGAGGAGCCAGATAACTTGCGGCCAGGGGCATGTCCCTGGCGTTGCAGTGTGGAAGGGTGACACCGGTGACGTAGGCTGAGGCCTGGATCACAGCATTCCTCTGTCTCTGTTCAAACTCATTTGTGACTTCTTTCCGAAAGCATGGCTTTCTTAGAGCATGGGTTGCAGATCTTGTAGGCACCTCTAGGCCGCCTTGCCCAGTCCCCACGACCGACTTTCTTCGACAGCTGCTGTGCACATGGCTGCCCGTGAGAACCGGAGCAGCCCATTTTCCCTCTGCTCTAGTTGGAGGGGGCGGTGAGGAGCCATAGGCATCTCCGTATGGGATTCTTTTGTGGAGTCTTTCAGTCTCCTTGCATGAGGGTGAGGGGGAAAGGGGAGTCAGGGTTTGGGGAACACTGCTGTTAGCCATCACCTTCTCTTTGGGGCTTGCCTGGGGTGGTTTCCCCAGGAATTTGGCAACCTGAACTTTCGAGCTGGCCTTCGATACGCAGGTGGAGGAGGAGGGACCACTGAAGTGCGGAAGGGCCAAAAGCTGAGGCTTTCTCAGCTTAAAGACATTAATGGGTTTCAGGGCCTTGAGGGGTAAGCTCCATCGGTGTTTCACCCAAAGCTTTATAATATGAGCCTCCAGGGCCTGATGAGTACATGCGTCGAGGAAGGAAAGCTTTCGGAAGGTGGGCTCGCAGCTTTCCATAGTCTCCGAAAATTCTAGACGCTTGGTCTGCCTGTGGGTGTTAGGCATCGGCAAAGCAGGAAGCCAGGGTTGGGGCATGCTCACAGGCCGCGGGACCTCACATTTACGCCCCAGCTTCCCGGCCAAATGAGATTTGGAGTCGTTTTGTAGATTCTTGTCTCTGCCTCTTGATAGGTTCTTGTCTCTGCATCTTGATCCATTTTTCACCGAGTCATTCTTCTTCAGGGATTCTTTAGAGTTCACCTTGGTAGTTTTCACTGGGGAGTCTTCCGCCTCCTTGGATGGGTATTTCGGGGCCCTTCCCAGAATATGCCCCAAGTTCTTGCCAACCTCCTTGTCTAAATGGAACTTCACCTTCTGTACTTCCTTGTACTGTTCACTGGTCGACATAAAGGAGCAAGAAGGGCCAGGCTTGATGTTATCCGAGCACGTTCTTGTCAACTCCTCTTGAAAATCCATCGCTTCCAGGGACTCTTGGATCCTGCGGGGCAGGTCCAATCCGTGTTGAACGAGCCACTTCTGAATGTGTTGCTCCAGTTTTCCCCGGAGCTCAGGGCTGATTGGCAAATTCTCAGGAAGGATAGAGACTGCCCAGCTTTCTTGGGAAGGGCTAGGAGTGATAGGACAGCTAGGTAGCTGAGACGTTTGGACCACTGAGGGGAAATCCCACTCAGGTTCTAGTTGTCTCCTTAGCAAAGACTTTTCTGGGTAATGGATTTCAGTTGGACTGAAAAATTGGACTTTACTTTGGGTTACAGAAAAAGATGTTCCGTAGTCCCTAAGATGGTGTAGAGAAGAAGGCAGGGAAGGGAGAGAGGATTGATGGACATGATCCAGAGATGAGGGCTGGAATTGGGAGATAGGCAGAATCAAGGATGGGGGCTGGGACTCCAGATGGGAGAGGGGATGGACTTGAGAAAGCAGTGGAGATATTTTATCTTGAATTGAAGTTCCATTGAATAGGAAAAATGGAGACTGTAGAGGAGAATTCTGGGGGATCCAGGCTGTAGCCACTAAGGATTCACTGTGTAGAGAAGGGAGACCCCAGAAAAGTTGGTCATATTTCTTCTGGAAATCATCATCTGTGATCTTGGGTAATGATAGTTGCTGAGGACCCTGTAGATGTTCTGACTTATCTTTCGTGTCCCAGAAGGATCGTGGGGTTTTGTTGTCCTCTCCTGTACTTGGTGACTCTAATTGATCCCTTGCAGGATTTGAGTGGTGTCCTGGGCTCATTTGTTGTGGAGTTTTGTCATCCTTTTCTGCACTTGGTGACTCTAATTGATCCCCTGCAGAATCCGAGTGGTGTTCGGGGCTCATAAGTTGTGGGGTTTTGTCATCCTGTTCTGCACTTGGTGACTCTAATTGATCCCCTGCAGAATCCGAGTGGTGTTCGGGGCTCATAAGTTGTGGGGTTTTGTCATCCTGTTCTGTACTTGGTGGCTCTAATGGATCCCTTACAGGATTCAGGTGATGTTTTGGGCTCATTTGTTCTAAGCATGAGCCATTTTGTTCTTTTTCTTTTATCTCCTTCAGGTGTACTCCAGATGCTAGAAATAAGGAGACTGGGTTATGGTAGTGAAAATGGAGAGAGATGAGAGACTTTAGTGGAACCTGAACAGGATGTCCATGTAGAAGAGATTTGACTCTGCAGTCCATGCACTGGAGCTCAAGATTACAAGAACCTGGCTGGCAGAGGTTGCAAAGTATGTGGGTGGGTAGTGTTATTATCATTTACAAAGGGTTCCATCTACGTCATTTCTCCAGGGTCTTTACAGTTGTGTGTAGAAGAAAGGCTGGGATCATCTAAGAAAACATGAGCCTTATTCAAGTAAAACAGCCTTGTCCTACGGAACAAATCCAGACCCATCACAGTTTCCTTCTAAACACAGGACCCGAGAAATGTCCACAATTCCAATTTCCTTCCCAGGAGCCTTTCCCTCAGGCCTCTGCAACTACATCCTGAGAGACCCCTGGGACCTGGCTCTGGTCCCTGAGGATCAGCATTAATTCTGGACTTCAGGAACGAATGGCACTGCCTTACCTTTTGGAGGTATATGTTTCTTCCTGCTTTTTTTCCACCGCCATATCTGCAGATGATCCTGAGAAACAAGAAGAAAATGGGAGGTTGAGTTCAAGTCTCAGTCTCCTCTCTCTAGACAAGGAGCAGGTATTGTTTCTGAACATTATGACATTCTATATTGAATTCATGGAATTCGTTTTTTCTTACCTTTTACTCACTTTTTGAAGCCAGGCCAGGCAGAAAAGTCTGTGAAACTCTTATCTCCAATAAACAACTCAGAAAAAGCCAAATGTGGCACTGCGGCTCAAGTGGTAGAGTACTAGCCTTGAGTAAAAGAAGCTCAGGGACAACACCATATATATATACACATATATATCATATATATACTAAATATATATATACTATATATACACACACTCTCTATATATGTATATGTGTTTATATATAGTAATATATATTATATAGTATATATAGCATATATGTAGTACATATATAGTATATATAGTGCATATGTGTATATATAGTTATATATAGTATATATGATATATACTACACATATACTATATATACTATATATAGCATATACTATATGTACTATAGTATATATACTATATATAGCATATACTATATATACTATACTATATATAGAGTATATACTATATACACACGATACGATATACTCTAGATAGAGTATATAATATACCATACTCTATCTAGAGTATATATAGTATCGTGTATATAGTATATACTCTAGTATATAGTATAGTGTATAGTATAGTGTATATATAGTATATACTATATATAGTGTACAGTATATAGTATAGTGTATACATAATATTTATAGTATATATAGTATATACTATATAATAGTATATAGTATATATAGTTTATACTATAGTATATACATAGTATATATACTATATATACCATATGCTATAGTATATATACTACATATAGTATATGTACTATATGTACATATAGTACATATACTATATGTAGTATATATACTATAGCATATATAGTATACTAAATAGTATATATAGTATATATCTTATACTATATATACTACATTACTATATATACACATATGTACATATATATTGTGTGTGTGTGTGTGTGTGTGTGTGTGTGTGTGTTTCTCTTTTTCTAGTCCTGGGGCTTGAACTCAAGGCATGGGCACTGCTCCTGAGCTTTTTTGCTCAAGGCTAGTACTCTACCACTTGAGCCACAGCTTCTGGCTTTCTGGTGGTTAATTGGAGACAAGAATTTCATGGACTTTTCTACTCTGGCTGTCTTCAAACTGTGATTCTCGGATTTCAGCCTCCTGAGTAGGCTAGGATTACAGGCGTGCGTCCTAGTATTTTGTTTTTTCCGAAACACAAAGAGGGATTTCCTATGTGAAACCCACCCTGGGTTCCCTGTAGCCACTCTCTCTTTACTCACTACCACAGACTGGGGCCTCTGCAGGTGCCTGCCAGTAGGTGGTTCCAGGGTCTGTTGAGAGATTCCCAGGGACTCAGCGCCGTCCTCAAAGCAGCCCAACAGTGAGCAAACATGTGGAAAAGATCACATACCTTTCTTCCCTCCCTCTCAGGCCCTTGCCATGATAAGGGGACCTTGGAACTGTGCTCAGGAGCCCACTTCTCAGCCACAAACTCCCGGTGATTGACTTTACCTTGGCATCTAAAAGACCCTGCATAGATGGTCTGTGAGTTTAGTGGATGACCTGGTGCGTACCCTCACCTCGCCCTCCTGCCAGTGCAGAGTGGAAGACGGCTGTCTTCTTTCTTTCCTAGGATTTCAATCACTTCTCTACTTGATTTGAAAAAGTGAAAATTGCAGTGTGTGTGTGTGTGTGTATGTGTGTGTGTGTGTGTGTGTGTATGTGTGTGTGTGTGTGTGTGTGTGTGTGTGTGTGTGTAGAGAGAGAGAGACAGGAAAAAAGCATAAGGAAAGGAAGGAAAGGAAAGGAAGAAAAAGAAAAGAAAGGAAAGAAAGAAGAAAGAAAAGGAAATAAAGAGGAAGATTACTTTTGGAAGAGTCTGGGTTGAAAGATTCTTACCTTCCTCTGCTTCTTTTTTCCCTCAGGTGGTGGTAAGGGTGGTTTTCGATTAAGAAAAGGCAGTAACAAGAGAAAAAGTCCCACTCCACACACAACGGCAAGGATCATATCCAACACCATGGTTGTGGAGCTGGGGCTCAGCCATTGGGCATTGCTGCTTTTCAGATTGAAGAGAGGATTCTCCATCATCTGAATTGCTCTATAAATCTCCTTTGCCAGCAGGCTGTGGGCCCAAGCCTACATCACAGAGGCCTCATCACAAAGGGCTCTTGAAAGGGGGAGGGGCAGAGAGTCAGGGGCCACTGGGTGGAGATGCCCCTCCCCCACCCAGCAGCCCAGCACATACCAGTACCACCTGGGTGTGTTGGATCCCTTGCTTCCAACTCCACCTGTCAATCTGTCAAAGAGAGAATGTAGTCATGCATTTTCTATTTATTCTCCCTGGAATTCAGCTATTACCCAGTTCCTTTCATCCATTGAAGATCTTGGCTTAAGATAATCTCATTTTCAACCCTCAAATATCTTTTTCTCCCCCCCCCCCCCCCCCGCCACCCCCATTTCTTTTAGGTGTAAACTTCAGGCATTTATTGGAAGTCTTTTAACTCATGAAGACATTTATATAAACTTTTCTTTTTGAACTACTTTTGCTAAATTTCATAATTTTAGCATGTTGTGTTTCCATATTTATATATGTCACAGGATACTTTATTTACTTTTAGATTTTTCTTTGGTAGTTCGAGTGTGTTGATTAATTTGTGAATTTTTCAGTTTTTCTCCTTTGATCTTCTAGTTTTTATACCTAGATTGTAAGAACACATGATAATATTTCAGTGTTCAGAAATTTGTTACAATATATACTCTATCTTGGAAAAACTGTGTATACTTAAGAATTTGTATATTAACTGCTGTTGAATGGTCTGATCAAAATGTTTTCTAGGTCTGATCTATAGTGTAATTCAAACCTGCTGCCTACTGACTGGTTTGCTATTTGGACTATTCATTCATTGAGATCATTGACTTATTATATTGCTATTTCTCCCTTGTAGACCTGTGAACACTTGCTTTATACATTATTTTTTCAGTGTTGGGTACATTTATGTTTTCTTTTTTTTTAAGTTTTTTTTTTAATTATGAAAATACTGTACAGAGGGGTTACAATTACATGAGTAAGGTAATGAGTACATTTCTTATAAACCATTGTTGCCTCCTCCTTTGTTATATCCTCTTGATGCATGTACCCTTATATCTGGACCTTGTATCTGAATATCATTGATATTCATCTGTGTTTTTTCTCCATGACTTTATTTCCAGTGTGTCTGTTTGACTTTTTTTTTGACATTTAAAAATCTTATCTGCCAGGTATTATTTAGGAGGCTGAGATCTGAAGACTGAGGTTCAAAGCCAACCTAGACAAGAAACTGTGAGACTTTTATCTCCAATTAACCACCATAAAGGGAAAAGTAGAGCTGTGGGTCAATTGGTAGAATACTAGCCTTGAGCAAAAATATTCAGGACAGTACCCAAGCCCTGAATTTAAGCCCAAGAGCTGGAGTACACACACACACACACACACACACACACACACACACATGCACGCACAGAATTTTACCAAAAAATCCTTACCTTTGATTTTCTTAATTATTGTTCTTCTATTGTGATTTATTTCTGTGTATTTTATTGTTTTCCATACTTTCATTTTTCTCTTTCCTCTCTAAGAGCAACTCTTACTTTATAGATCAAAAGTTTTTCTGTTTGAAATTTTAGCTTTTGAAATATTGTAACGTCACCAGGTACTGGTGGCTAATACCTATAATCCTAGCTACATAAGAGTCAGACCTCAAGGATTACTTACAGTTCAAAGTGAAAGGAGAAATCGACAAGAATCTCTTCTTTCAAAGGAAGATAACATAACATTCAAGCTGTAAGTTTCATTCCCTTGGTCTTAACTCACCCACATAATTTCTTGAAGCTTATGCACCTTCACTCACCTTTGTGATCTTCTGTGAGCTGGTGCCTTGAGGTCAACAGGGCAAGGGACAAGGGGTGGGGACAGAGCTAAGGTGTAAGAAACTAGGCAGACTACCTGTCTAGTGTGCTGGCCTTCTCTGGGTTTGTCAAGAGTATACCCATTTGGAGAAATATTAAAGATTCCTTTGCTAAAACTGTCATCGGTGACTGTTGGGTAATGTAGGCTAAGAATTGATTTCTATTCTTAACGATTTGGGGCTGCATTCCAGATCTAGCTGTGACTGTGGGGTGAGAGGAAAATTTCCATGAGGGGAGATGGTTCCTGCTGATCATTACATTGGCTCCTTCTGGCTAACTTACTGATTTCCCTTAGCTGCAACTGCAGGCTAAAGGGATGGAAGTCAGAGCCATGCAGGGCAGTGCCCACGCAAAAAACTATCAGGAACCAGGCCACTTCATGCATGAACCAAGGTAGGAAAGGGGATGCTCTCACTATTGCCTTTGTGATTGGATCATTCTTGAAGGTTGGCTGCAAGGAACAGTTATTTCTTTGCGAGATTGAGATTGAGCACACTGGAAAGGTTCAAGACATTTTTGGCAGTAAAGGATTGAGTATAAGCCAGAAAACCTTGAAGAATAGAAAAGAATCCCTCTTTAGCAAATAGGAGGAGGGTGGGGGCAAGGAAGTAAAAGATTCACCTAGATGGTAGATGTTAGAATATTGGAATGATCATGCATGGACCAAAGAGAAAAAGAAACAAAGATGCTTTGATTCTGCTGCTTTTTTTTTTTTTGTACTCAGGGACCCATCCTAAATCCCTGGTGTTCTGGCCAAAGTTTGCGTTAGATGGGAATTGGGTATGCCAACTTCTATTCAAAAATGTCAATGAAGAAAAAGCCCAGTCTCCCAAGAGAACATGGACTCAACACTGTGTTGGATGAGGCCCCATAATCATTACATCCAGTTAAGGAAAAAAAGGAAGGAGCTAGAGAAACGGGATTCACTTCCTCCATTATGGAAGAGATTGTCTCTTTCTGCTCTTGCTTATAGAGGGGCTAGAACAGCCAGATTCCTGATGACTCCCTACTGGCATGTTTCCTGAATCACTGGAAGAATTTAGCTCCTGAGACCTTAAAAGAAAAAAAGCACTTGGCCATAATACCCAATAGAAGATGTGGGAGGCGGGGCATCAGTGGTTCATGCCTGTAATCCTAGCTATTCAGGAGCCTGAGATCTGAGGATTGCAGTTCAAAGTTAGCCTGGGAGGAAAGTCTGTGAGATTCTTATCTCCAATAAACCACCAGAAAAACAGAAGTGGTGCTGTGGCTTCAGTGGTAAAGTGAAGAGCTGAGGGACAGTGCCCAAACCCAGAGTTCAAACCCCACAACCAACAAAAAAGCGGGGTGGGGGAGGGGGGAAGGGGGGATGGCCACCTGAGAAATAAGTCAGGCAGGGCTTTTTTTTTTTTTTTTTTAAATTTAATTTTATTTTATTTGAGAACATACTGTACAGAGGGGTTACAATTACATGGGCAGGATAATGCATACATTTCTTACCAAGCATTGCAGCCTCCTCCTTTGTTTACCCTTCACCTCCCTTCCCAGCCTCCCCCCTCCCTCCCACCCAATCATACCCCCCCCCCCCCCCCCGACATTGTAAAGCTGGTTTTGACATGACATTTTGTACTTCTCATTGTTGCAACAGGTCCACCTGAATCCTTAAACGACTTGTTTGTCCCCATCTCCTCCACATGTTATACTGACATCAAATATAGTGAAAACGGGGGTTACACTGTGGGGGAGGGACATACAAAGCAACAAAGAAATAATATAAATGCGTTAGAAACACAAGGCAGGGCTTTTAAAACCAACTATTCTTCTCTTCCCTCAAAAGGAAACAAAGCCAGGATGAGGACAGGAATCCCATTGGAGGACATCACCCATTTTCTTTACAAGATTTTTAGGCAGATTAAGACCTCCCTAGGGGATATTCAAATATCAATTTAGTTTACTGATGTAAAGCTGAGTTCTCTAGCAGACATGTTTAAAAAAAAACCAAAAACCTCTGTTCTGTTGGGCCCAGGTAGCTCATGCCTGTACTCCTACCTACTTAGGAGGCTGAGATATGAGGATTGTGGTTGGAAACTAACCAGGGCAGAAAAAGTCCCTGAGACTCTAATCTCTAGTTAACCACAAAAAACAAGAAGTGGAGCTGTGGTTCAAATAGTAGAGCACTAGCCTTAGGCACAAAAGCTCAGGGGTTCAGGGACAGTTCAAGCCCTAGGACGGGCAATAATAATAATAATAATAATAATAATAATAATAATCCCCTCTGTTTTTGGTAACTTTGTTTAAAGTAGAGGTTCTGTTGGCATTTTTTTTCTCTTATGCTTGTCTGGCCTGTTTGGAATTTTCTAGAGGTTGTCTAACTCTTTTCTGGTCTAGTCTGCCAGCAACATAGTTTTTCCCATCCATTTTATAGGACTAGCTTGTTCACTTGTCCAAAAGTAGCTGCTCTTCATGTTTAAGACTCCACAGAGGCCAGTGGATCCACTCTTGTTTCTGAGGAATTAAGACTCCTCTACTTGTTTTATTGCTTAAACTCTCTGGATAGACTTTGCTATTCAAAATGGCCTTATCAGGAAGGTGTTAACGTGATCTTTATGCTTCTGGTGAAAGTCCAGACAAGCCTGTCTGATCTTGTTTTTCAAAAAGCTAATTTTCTGAGCTGGAAACCTATGGTTCACGCTACCCAAAAGGCTGCGATTTGAGAATGGCAGTTTGAAGCTAGCCTGGCCAGGAAAGTTTATGAAACTCTTATCTCCAATAAACTACTAAAAAGCTAGAAGTAGAGCTGTGGCTCAAGTGGTGGAGTACTAGTCCAGTCTTATTGACCAAGGAGACAACCATCTGAAGCACTGAAAAGAGTTGAGCTCATTACACTTGGGTAGAAGTGCTCCGACAACAAGGCATCAAAGGCTGGCACATCTGTCCTGATCCCAATCAGAGGGCCCTGTTGTTCAGCACCAGTATAATCCAACTAAAGCAACCATAACAACAATGTCAATGAGACTCTGGCAATCCAGACAGGATGCAGAGACGTTAATGCCTGGGTGAAATGTCCACAGCCTTAACAAAAGCCGTTGTTACGCTGTGCAAGGACTGGAGGCACAGGGTTGCCCCTTTTCCTGGTGATGGTCTTTGAATCCAGATAGTATGATCTGTATGATAGCACTCTTCCAGGACAAAACAGCTGGGGAATCGAATCATGCAAGTCCCTAAACTTGCTGTTTACCCTAGCCAAGGGCCATGAGATTCTTAGGGCAATCACACCTCTGCAAGAAGGTATAAACTTTATCTCCTGTCTTTCAAGGTGGGGGAAAAGGTATACTATGTTCATGGAAAATGTCTTCAGTTGCTTTGAGAACGTAAGGGCTGAGTTTGAGACTAGTCATTCCATGCTAAACATTCTGCGAACATACCTCTGGTAATATTATTAGGGGCCACTGTATGTCACCCTCTTGGCCAGCTGTGGTGGAACCTGTACATTGGTCTAATTGGCTATCCCTTTTATTCTGGAATTCGATCCTCTTCCCACCCCCCCCCCCCCCAAAAAAAGATAATAAAAGAAATATCCCAGGGATTCTTTTGATTCTAATATACACTTAGAAACTATTGGAGTCCCTATGGGAGTTCTTAACAAATGTATAGACCAGAAGCTAAATATCTGCTAGCTTTGTGCTAGTCTTGTTCTGGGGTGGAGAAGTCTACCATTAATAAACGTCTTGAGAATGTCGATGGGACTAAGTACATTTAGTATAACCAACAGAGATTTGTAAACTGTCCTAGGAGGTGCAATTAAGGGAAGGCCTGAGCAATTAGTGCCACTGGGATAACCACTTAGGGCTAGTTATGCTTTTTGGAAGAAAAAGGAGACTGTGTAATGATAGGATGCCAGGGCTGTGCCTTCCTTCTGAATAACATTTCCTCTGATGGACTGATCAGCCTAGCAAATGAATTGGCTGAAAACGTGTGAATAAATGACCCTTTCACAAACCTCACGGAACAGTATTTTGAAAAGCTCACTAATAATCACAGTGCTCTTATTTTGCTGTGGTATCATACCCTGTATCAGGTGGCTGCTACAAATCTTTATAGCAACTGCCTTGACTGAGATCCTTCTCTACCTTAGTCAGGGTAAATTTTTTTTTAACTTAGTGATAAAAAAAAAATGATGTTACCACAATTTGAAGCAAAGAACAACTCTAGACCAAA